CTAACGCCAAACGTTATATCGCGGACCGTCAGGGTAAGATCAGTCATGATAGACAATGACGTGACTTCCACGTAAGATCTTATAGATAAGGTTTACACATCATAGCATATCTACAAATTTAGGATTAGGTTTATTATTATAAAAGAACTAATGGCGAATTTAGGCCACAATTCTACAGATGCTTCGGACAAAGCAGTAGGCGGTTTACCCAACTTTCTTCTAATGAATATATGCAAGTCAGGCTGTTCCAATCATTGATAGCTCGGTACAAAAGTTGATCCATATGTTTCTGTCATTTACAAAATTTCAAATTGCAGTTCTGGAATGCAAGGAAAAGGATAACCGAGGGTAACGACCGAACAGCCAATATTCGGTTGGAACAACGGACTGACGAAATCGTGAACTTATTCGATTAGACCAGACCAAGTTCCTCTGTATAGCTCACAACGCGTCTTTGAGATACTCGTATTATATTATATCAAAACACAAACTCTGTGCTCAATATAAACGGTTCTAATTAAGAAAACAGAACAAATTACATCAAAATACAAAATACCTCAAACGGTACAGCCTGTGCTATACAGTCAGAAGTTTCTCTAACGCAAAGTAGCGCGCTAAACAATGAAAGAGACAGTTAATACTAAAGGGTTTGATACCTGAGAATCAATACAAATATTCCCAATAAGATGGGATCAAATATCTATCTGCAGGGATTGCAGCAATTCTCCCAAGCAGATAGTCAGAAGGTTAACAATCACAAACTGAACCACGCCGTGACCTTGAGCTTAGTCAAACACAACCTTACTGTCAATGGTCCGGCAACATGCAATAGAAAATTAGGTAACAAAATAAGTCTTTAATCAAAATCACATAATAAAGGCTCAAACGGGGAAGATTGAAGAACCAAAGACATGGTTAAACGAGATCGAAACAAAGGTTGGAATACACAAAAGGGAGAAGGAACAAATAAATGAAAATACTGTTCAACAAAGAAGCTGCAAAGGGATTTTCACTGTTCTCTTTCCGTTACACCGGCCCCCAAAATCCCTCCAGCTACGCAAAGACACCTTAGAATACATTTCTGTCATGGCTCTCCCTACTAACTGGTCTATATCAATGGGAGTCACAGGACTTACAACAGTACGCCTGTACATCCATAAACCTAAGCTACAATCCACAATTACTCGGCTCCCTCTAGAAGGCAGAGCTTTCGCACATCTCTTCTTACTACACCTCTCATTCGCACCATCACTGTCTCTTAGTAATAACAAAGTGTTTGGCGTGAGCACCAAATCATCCTTTTCATCTGACATCGCAGGAACGATTGGGCGGTTGTCTAAAATTCGTTCTACCTCCACAAAATAAGTTGCCAAACAATCATCGTGTAATATTTGCCCGTTGGAAATAAATAGTAAGATCCTCCGAACAGACCGTATTAATCTCTCCCAAACTCCGCCTCGATGGCTAGTTAGTGGGGGGTTGAAATGCCAGCGTATACCCTTCGATACTGTTAAGTCGTTTATTCTATGCTTGTTCCACACACTCATATTAGCCCGTAATTCGGAAGTGGCCCCGACAAAGTTAGTTCCATTGTCGCTATAGATCTCATTAGGAGTTCCTCTCCTTCCTATGAAACGTATTAAAGCCATTATAAAAGCATCAGTACTCAAATTGAAAGCTACTTCCAAATGTACGGCACGTGTTTGGAGACACGTGAATAGGCATCCATATCTTTTTTCCTCACTTCTTCCCCGACGCACTATCAACGGCCCAAAATAGTCTATCCCGACGGAGGAGAAGCAAAACCAGCCTTGCTGCACTCGACACTTGGGGAGAGGTGCCATCATCTGTTGGCCTAATGTGGCCTTCGCGCGTATACACCTCACACATCTACCTATCACTCGTTTAACTGCACTGGTTCCTTTAACAATCCAATAATTTCGTCGTATGGTAGCCAACACTTGTGATGTCCCGGTGTGACCTTCTAGGTGGTGATGGTGTCTAATAATAAGTTCTGTTACGAAGTGATGACTGGGTGAAATTACCGGATGTCTGATTGAGAGTGGATAATCCGAGTAATTTAATCGTCCGCCGACACAAAGCAATCCATCGATTAGCGTAAGTGAAAGATTTTTTAGCTCTTTTATAACAGTTGCGCTTACGCCACTACATCGAGACACTTTAACTGCTTCCCCAAACACTTTTACTGCTTCCCCATACACTTCCTTTTGCACTAAGGCTAATACCTTGTGTTTAGCTGTATCCAATTCATCAACTGACAGATAGCCCACACTTAGGGACCTGTCATTGTGACGGGAGTACATGATGGTTATATAGGTCACGTATCTTCTGAGCCATGCTACCGCTTTAATCAGCTTTATCCAATTTGAGTGATATAGCAGAACTGGACTTAAGCTATGTTTTTTCGCAACTACGTTGGTCGTGTGACATCTTTTAAATTCAACATTTTCTGGGGGGTTTTCGCACATAAGCGTTAGTGTTCCTACAGACTCCCTCTTCCTCAAGAAGGAAGGACCCTCAATCCAGTTCTTTAAATCTAGCTCCTTCCGTATGCCTCGTGATGTCCAGTCAGCGGGATTTTCATTGGATTCTACGTGCCCCCACTGGTCCACAGATGTTAAATGATGAATAGCGGCCAGACGATTAGCCACGAAGGTGGAATACCTACTATCTGTATTTTTTATATAGTACAGTACTATCATAGAATCCGTCCAGAAGTGAGTCTTGTCAAACACCTGAGGAAGGTTCCTATTTAAAACTTCCCCCATTCTAGCACTCAATACTGCCGCTGCTAGTTCCAGTCTAGGCACAGTCACCTGTTTTATAGGTGCCACTCTAGACTTACTATAGAGTAGAACGCTGTATGGTGCTTGGTGCTTAGGGATGTTCCACGAGTAAGCTACCGCACCGTAACCAGATTCGGAGGCGTCACAAAATAAATGCAGCTCAATCGCCTTAAAGTTCTTTCTGTTTCCATTTATAATGCTTCGAGGAGCACTGATCGTTCCGAGCCTCCGCACAAACGTGACCCATTCGTTCCACGAGGACACAACACTATCACTCGGAGGCTGGTCCCAACCGATACGCGTTTTACAAAGATTCTGTAAAAGTTGTTTAGCAGGAAGGTATATTGGACCTATCAAGCCCAGTGGATCGAAAAGAGATGAAATGGTAGATAGTATTCCTCTCCTAGTCGGGGTTTTTTCCCCTGGATCAAAACGAAAATTAAAAACATCGTGTGTGGTGTCCCATTCAATGCCGAGGGCTCGATGTGTCGGCCCTTGATTCAGAGATATATCAACAATCGCTTCCATACTATCAGAATGCGGAAAAACTTTCCCTACGATTTCCGAGTTAGTCACCCATTTTTTCAACTTGAAACCTCCTCGGGCTATCAATTCATTTAGTTGCACCACAAAACTTTTCGCATCTTCATCATTGGGAAAGGATACTAGGTAATCATCCACATAAAAGTTGTTCAGTGCCGATTCCCCTACGCTGCTATCATAGTCACTAGAGAACTTTTGAGCCGTCTTCATCAATGCAAAGTTTGCACAGAAGGGTGAGGATATTGCCCCGAAGGGATGTGATGTCATCTGATACTCCACCGGTTCCTTCTCGATATCACCCTTCGGCCACCAAAGGAAACGTAGCGCTCCACAATCAGGCTTCGAGACCTTTACTTGCATGAACATTTCTTCCACATCCGCGGAAACGGCAACCGGTTCCCTGCGGAAACGTAACAGGATCCCGACTAAACATGCTGTAGTATCTGGACCTTGATAAAGAAGGTCATTAAAGGATTTACCAGCCACCTTAGCAGCACAATCCAATACCACTCTCACTCTGCTTGGTTTTCAGGGGTTAATCACTGCATGATGGGGCAAGTACCATTTTGGACGATAACCCGGATCGAGTTGCATACCTGGAACCACAACCGCATACCCTTTGTCAATCGTCTGCTGCATGGCACATGTGTAGCTTTCCCGAAAGTCCTTATTGCATGTGAGTCTACGTCTTAGACTTTCTAATCTTCGCCTAGCTAGATCATAGCTGCCGGAGACTACATTTCTCTCCACTCTCCAAGGTAAAGGGACAATCCAATGACCCTCGTCAAAATAAGTGTCGCGCTCCACTATGCTAACTGCTTTCAAGTCATTTAAAGATAATGATTTATCGGAGGAGTGCACGTCAGCAAATTCGTAATTATATATTTCCTTTAACTGCTCTACAGGATTGTCAGATTGAGAAATATAATTTACCATCCTTTTACTGTTTTTGCTAAAACCTGCCGGTCCAAACAGAACCCATCCTAGGAGTGTCCTAATAGCATATGGGCTTTTCCTTCCACCCAATCTTTGATCTAGGACCCAATGCGCTTCAGGCACGTCACAACCAATAAGTAACATAACTTCACCATCCACTGATTCTGTCCAAGGTAAGTCAATAAGATGAGGCCATTTCTTGGCGCTGTCCTTCACAGGTACTCTTGGTCGATGCACCGGCAAATCATCTACCACAACAGCCTGTTCAATACATATGCATTCGTCTCCGTTCAATGAGTAAGCTTTAAAGGCTTTAGTGGTCGATCTGCTTAACTTATTTCCGTTGACCGTTTCGATGGTAATCGACGCACCATCTGACGATAATCCTAAACGTCGTACGGTACTTAACTTGATTAGGGTCGTATCTGAGCCATTGTCTAGAAACGCATATCCAGAAACTTCCTTGTCCCCAGCTCTAAGGCGTACAGGGATCAGACCCAGAAACACATCCTCTTTTAATGACTCTGTGTACCCACAATGACTTTCTTTTAAGCACTCACTCGACCCACTCTGAACTCGGATGGTTTTATGCAACGATGGGTGATGCCGATCTCGACAACCTTCGACAGTACACACAACACGATCTTTACAATCCACAGATCTGTGGCCCCTTCGAAGACAACAATAACACAAGCCCTTTTCTTTTGCTTTCGCTCACTTATCGTTGACTGCTAAGGCTGAAAACTGGAAACATTTATCCACACTATGAGTTTCTCCGCACATAACACAAGGTGACTTGCTAACGATTTTACCGAATGACAGACCTTGTGTGGAACAGGCCACCTTGCTTGCAGCTCGGTTACTAGCAGTTGCAATCTGTCCGAATCTGCTAAGCAATATTTCCGCTCTAGATGACACAAATTCTGTTAATTCAGCAGAAGTAGGCTCTCTTCCATTTGCTGTTAACTTTCCTACTGTCTCAGCCCATCTCATCTGTAAAACCGTGGGCAACTTCTTTACTATACTTTCTATTGTCACTACGGAGTTGAGATCCGCTGAATAATCCATTTGTTCTAAGGTTATAGAACAGTTTTCCATCTTTATCGCTAGTCTAGATAGACTTTCTGCGTCATTATGCGCAATATCAGGACCTTCAGTTAAATCTTTCATCAAAGCCCGACATATTTCGTGTGTTCTACCGAACAACCGTTTCAATATATCGCACGCTCTACGATAGCCCGACGATGGTGGAAGCATTATGCATTCCTCTATGGCCTCTCGAGCCTTGCCTTTACAATAATGTAACAAGTACAACAGCCGTTGACCATCGTCTTCAACCTTGGAAACCACATATAAATCAAATTGTCTAATAAATTTCCAGTATTTAGCTGGTTGTCCCTCAAAGGTACTTAGCTCTACCTTTGGAAGTTCAAGACCTACACTAAGAGATTCCAAGGTCACTTCCTTCCTCTTCGTTTCCGGATAATCTAGCAGTTTTGACTTTTCTAGAGACTTTGTCCTAAGGTCATGAGGACTTACGAACCTGTGAACGTGCTCCTTTTCTCTGTCATCACAGTTAGAAACAGAAGATAACTTACTACACATGCTTTCGTTCAGCCTTAACGACCCAAACTCTCTCTGAAAGCGCAGTAGTTGTTTCGTCTGCCTATCTTTCAAGTCTCTCATTTCTGATAACTGTCTTTCCTTCAACTCTGCTAAGGTTATCCTAGAGCTAACTTTACTACGTCTACTTACTAAACTAACATTAGAGCCATGACATGAAAATGCATCTAATTTGACTTGCCGTATATCTGGAGGTGCGTCCGATTGCATTTCTCCGTGGCCCAATGCCAAGTTTTCGTTGACCTTATTGCGCTTTCCAGGCATTCCAGAATGTCACTTGAGATTACTGTTCGTTTGAGAACTGTAACGACCGAACAGCCAATATTCGGTTGGAACAACGGACTGACGAAATCGTGAACTTATTCGATTAGACCACACCAAGTTCCTCTGTATAGCTCACAACGCGTCTTTGAGATACTCGTATTATATTATATCAAAACACAAACTCTGTGCTCAATATAAACGGTTCTAATTAAGAAAACAGAACAAATTACATCAAAATACAAAATACCTCAAACGGTACAGCCTGTGCTATACAGTCAGAAGTTTCTCTAACGCAAAGTAGCGCGCTAAACAATGAAAGAGACAGTTAATACTAAAGGGTTTGATACCTGAGAATCAATACAAATATTCCCAATAAGATGGGATCAAATATCTATCTGCAGGGATTGCAGCAATTCTCCCAAGCAGACAGTCAGAAGGTTAACAATCACAAACTGAACCACGCCGTGACCTTGAGCTTAGTCAAACACAACCTTACTGTCAATGGTCCGGCAACATGCAATAGAAAATTAGGTAACAAAATAAGTCTTTAATCAAAATCACATAATAAAGGCTCAAACGGGGAAGATTGAAGAACCAAAGACATGGTTAAACGAGATCGAAACAAAGGTTGGAATACACAAAAGGGAGAAGGAACAAATAAATGAAAATACTGTTCAACAAAGAAGCTGCAAAGGGATTTTCACTGTTCTCTTTCCGTTACACCGAGGTTAGAAATCTTCAAGTAATTCGAAAATCATTATTACTTTGTGTCTTGAGATGCGACAGAGGAGATAATCGTGGCCCAGCTTCTCTTGCTCAGTCTGAAAGCTTAGATACAGTCAAAGCAGTGTCTCACCTAACTGTAACCCTTATTGCTGTACAGATTATCTCAGAAATTACCTGACAACCACTTCTGATCATGTTGGGGAGAAAACTAAATCCTAAAGGAACTATTCGCGACACACATAGCTTTCAGAAAGCGAGCTCAGAAATAGTCGGAATAAGTGGAGGCGAACGACATCATAACAAAAACTAGCGCGAGTTGGTGCTGGAACTGAAGGTCTCATGGACGTCTAAAGTTTAGTAACAATATGGTCTGTAATCTCTTCCTAAGTAACAGTCTCGATGACAGTCTAGATCTAAGTGAATGGTGTTAGGATTCGGATATATATTAGAATTACAGGCAGCAGTGTTGTAGCGTGTTATCTAAGCTGACTATTTATTATATGAGATACACAGCAAGGTGTACCGAAACGTGATGTGATGCTATTGTTTAAATTAGGCTCCCGGCTAGCGGTGTCTCCAACAAACATGATAAGGCCAGAATCAATATGGACGAATCGCAGAACTATATATCTTTGGAATCTGTCTATCACCACGTTATCAATATTCAGCACAGTAATAACATGAAAGCTAGCAATAAAAAACAAACTCACAATTTTTTAAACAACAACCAGACAAACTATGATAACGAGAATTCAGAGACATGTAGTGATGTTGGTTTTTAATCACACGATCCTTATAGATGAATATAAGATAACTGTTAGGATTTACATTAACCGTTGAACTCTTGGTTAAGTTTGATGGAGGTCAACATGTGATCAATTTGTCAACATGGCATGACATGACCATGCAAACGTGGTCATTTTATACATCCTCTTGGTCTCTATACTAAAGATACGATTCTGCCACCATTTTGAGTGTGTTCTGTAACGCTTCACTAAAAAGTACACTTCTGACTGTCATGACAGGCCTAATGAGTATTGACAGTAATTTGACTTCGAAGTAAAATCTTGTAGACTGGGTAGTTGTATCATGGCTAGTCCACAAAGATGTATCAGGTCTATCATTATACTACCACAGATAAGCTAACCAATACCAAACTACACCTCACTTTTACACACCTAAAGCTTCTGAATATCCAATTCCTGTTCGCAGCGGTCCAATGGCATAATAATGGATTCCCGGGGACGGTGAAAGAGCACAAGTAGACAACAGCTCAACGCGTAAGCTTGAGCTCAGTTTCATAAAACCTCGCTGTAAATGGTCTGGCATCGTGCAGCGATAAAATCAAATATTAAAGGCAACTCTTAACTTCTGTCGAAAAATAATGGTTTGTCCAAAGGTGCCTAGGAAATATGGAAATATGGTCGCACGAATCCTGAAAGAAAAATTCATGAAACTAAAATTCTATTGAATAAGACACTTAGAAGGTGTTTCCTGGGCATTCCATCTGTTACATATATTTGGATCAGGTTACGAGCCAAAAGTGAAATAAAACAGCATGTTAGATGAAGTATCATCCATGACAACCAAGAGAGATGAAGCGACTACCGATGTATATGATCTGTACCTATTATAGGTGTTTACTCAGTTCGGAAGGAAATAGTTCGATCTCCCAGCTAACACTGAATTCACATCGTGTCATAGTATCCAAGTTCTGTAGCAACTTTAATGACCGAATGGAAAAAACATAATACTACTTAAGATATGTACTCCAGAAGACCAGAGAAGTTCACATTATATCTGCTGCTGCATGTACTAGGACGTGGTATTTGACGTTCAGTGTTCTCTCATACAATGCAGAAACTTTTCGGGCTTTTGGGTGATTTGGCTGGGATTTCACGACATTTCACTGGCTCTACAGACGAATATAGATCATATCCCGCTATTAGCGCACAATTTTGCCCGGTAAGTAGAATAATTCCAGTCATAGATCAGCAATGTAGACAATCCCGATTGACTGGGTAGAATAAATACTGTCAATATGCAACAGTATATATGAGTATTGATAGGTGGAAGAGCACAAAGCGGAGTCACTTCCACACGCGTCCGTCCACGGAGTGCCGTTGATTGATGTATTTGTTCTTGTTCTTAACAAGGATCGGTAGATTGTTCGACATTCACATAGTAAGTTCCCTTAGTGAAAATATAGGGATTACGGGATACTTTTGAGCGAGAGATATTAGGAACACGTTGTTGTTGGTTACGTTAATAGAAGACAAGGTTTTTGCGTTAGTAAATATGTCAAAGATGTTCAATGTTTGTCAACGCTGTTACCCGCAATCTTGTCTAACAGAGGACTCCAAAGCCAGTCAAGCCAGAAGTCAGATATGGGGGTATTTAAAAGTGCACTCGAGAAATCACCGATGAATGGAGAAATGTGTAATCTAAGTTTATAATTTATTGTGAGAGTTTGGGAGAACGGCGTACCCAAACATGATCTTCAGTCTTCAGTCTTCAGTAATAAGGATAGGAGGTCTATCGACCTATATTAATCCTTGCAGTTTGTAATACGGTAAGATAACGGAAATAAGTTGAGGTTTCTGTCTGTCTTCATCAGATACGCCAGATAGACCTTGTACCATCTTAGTACCTCGTCGTTGGACTCTTTCCAGCATCTCTGCTTCACACTTAAGATGAGGACTCGCTGCTTGAATCCCATATTTTAAATGTGGTCGCACACAAATAGGGTATAATAGTCTAAACATTTCATCATCTAAATACTGGAAAGACCTACGAATAGATCATAACACCCCATAGCCTTTCGCAGCAGCAGCCTTACAGTGACTAGTGGTTTTGAGATCACTGCTAAGTTTCTTAGTTTGTGTAGCACGAATCCACATATTCTATGGTGATACAATTCATCATAGTTACTTAATTGCATCACCACACTCTTATTAGGATTTGCTTCTAGTGACCACCTGTCTAACCATGCCACCGTTGAGCAAAGATCATCCTGTGATACTATCCTATCCGACATACTGTGTATGGGTCTCCGAATCTTTATGTCATCAGCGAAGAGTAGAACGGATGATTTCGCTATAGTTAGCAATTCATTTACATAAAGTAAAAAGAGAAGAGGACCGACGATTGTACCTTGAGGAACTCCACTTTATACAGGTACACACGAGAAGAGAGACCCATTCACCCTTACCCTTTGTCTCATGTCATGCAGAAAGTTAATTATCCAATCTACAACTGTATAATGGACTCCAAAACGTTCCAGTTTGAATTTAACACCAGACTGGGAGACCTTATCGAAGGCCTTACTTAGATCTATGAATATCACATCCACAGGAGTATTCTGATCTTTTGCAGCAACCCAATCTTCTCTTGCAATGAGATTTGTCAAGCACGATAGGCCTCTCCAAAAACCATGTTGTTCCCTGGAGAAAAGATTATGCCCTTCAACATAGTTTATAGCAGATATCGAATGATTTTTTCCATCAGTTTTACAACTGCACTAGTTAAGCTTATGGGCTTATAGTTACTAAATAAATTCCTACTCCCAGCCTTATACACCGGACTTACTATAGAGTCTTTCCAGTCTCTGGGCAGTCTGGACTGTCTTAGAAACATGTCAGACAGTGTCGCTAATGGTTCAGCAATTACATCTGATAGGGCTTTCATAATCCTAGGATGATTATCATCAGGAACACTGGACTTATCAGGTTTGATATGCTGAAGTAGCCTTAAGACAGTGCCCTTCTCAATAACTACAGGGTCCACCAGTGAGCCACAACAATCACAATGAATCGTTGGTCGTTCCTCATTACCGATAGAAAACACTTTACTGAAATATTCCGATGGAGCTTCAGCTTTTTCGACATCATTTTCTGCCAAGATTAACGGATTTTCTTGTATCAAAAGTGATGGAATTCCATCGCTTCTCTCACTCCACCCTTTTAAATACGAGAATAACCGTTTCGGACTATATCTAGAATCCCTAACCAATTATTTTTCATATGATCGTCTAGCCTTACTTATTAAAGCTTTACAGGCATTCCTAATCTTACAATAACTGGATCTGTATTGTTCTAAGCCAGTAGAGTTGAACATATTCCAGTGCTTCTTCTTTTTTCTAAGAAGTTTCCTGATTGTTTTCGTTATCCATGGTGGACTGTTATTCGGTCTTCGCGGTACCAGGTATGGTATGAATGGGGACGTAACTAAAATAAACTTACCTTTAAATACAGACCATGCTTCTTCAACTGATA